CACTAGAAGGGAAAACAGGCATTTTACAAGAGCATGGCACATGTTACATCTTGGCTGCAAATAAAAGGCTTTACTTTCTACAGCTCCTGCACAGGTCTGCAATGGCTGAACTTGATCTTAAAGGTCTTTTCCAACTTAAACAATTCTATGTAAATCCAGAGTACCTCCTATAACATTGTGAAGGATGCCATTTGTGAACATGGCCATAAATTCACTGGAAAACACTTGTCACTCTTGCAATATTTAAGAATTTCTAGGTCACAAAACTCCAATAAAAAGGTAATTTCCAATATTATCCTTTTTTTTCCTCAAAAGCATATGTATTTCCAGAGCTGAAGCACTCCTCAGCACCTTTTAAGTTCAAAAATGGCCAGAATGAACAACAATCAGCAACACACCCATGCTCTTTCAGCCAAAGGACAATTCAAACATTCTACCCTAAATGTAATTTACTCAAGAGCACAATTGTCCCACTGAGTCACTTTTGTCAGGTAAACACAGCAAACAAAGACTATCCCATAGTGTAATATGTCATGAATAAACATTGTCAACAGAGCAATTTTGACCAAAATGAAAAACAGAAATTCCCAGGCACTAGAAAAATAATTTCCTAGGTAAATCATATAGTCTCTACTGTCAAGGAAGTCACTCTGAAATTACATTTCTTCCTCTTCAGCACAAAATTCTGATTCTACTGAAAATAATGGAAATGCTCTTATCAATTTTATGAGAGAAGGATTTTAACACAGTCTTTTTAAAGGAATACTGCCAGGAATTTGTCAGGAATAGCATTCACCAAGTTTCAGCATTCCTCTGGAGCTTGCAGATGGGTGGGAAACGTTTTACCCTCACTTTACCTGCAACCCCACTGGCTGTGAGTCAGAATTTCCATCTGGAGCAGCTGAGCCATTGATCTAAATTAGCAAATCACAAAATTCACCCCAGCATCAGGAGAGGGGTCTTATTTCCAGAGAAATGAGTTGCCTTCTAATTCCATACCAGATGGTGGGACAAGGTCAGACCTCTTATCACTTGTGTAACTGTTCCTGAATTAGCCCATCTTCTCAAACTCTCTGACCAATTTAAAGCATTAACCTTCCACCAGGCAAGAGGAGGGCTACGGTGGGCAAACCAATTTCAGTAAGTTCCCCTGAGGGCTTTATCAGCTATTTGTTAATAGTTGAGGAAAAGGTTGATAAAAACAGCTGTGCAGAAAGATTAAATATATTTCCCATGTTGACATTTATACTGACTCCAAGTTCACAAACACCTCATAAAGTATTAGTTGTAAGGCAGCATGTATCAAGGCTGTTTTTTAAAGCAATTACACTTAATTTGTCAATCAGAACCTTTCATCAGAAATAAAACAGGTAGAAGCAAATGAGAATATATAGACAAATCCCTTGTCTCAAATTTGCTTTTACAAACATTACACACAGCTACCACAAGAAAGGTCACTGAAATAATGAAATTTGGATGAACAGGCTACAGACAGCAGCAGTAAACATTTCAGTTTGCCCTGGTAGCTTAACAGTGTAAACAGACTTTTTACTCAGTTTTTCTGTATGTAGGTAAGGCCCAACTTTTACTCCTTGTTTTGTATAAAAAAGGAAGATAATTTTTTCTAAGATAAGTTTCGCCTACACAATAAGAAAGATAATCAAATGGCTAGTAATTAGGATAACTAAGAGGCAAATTATTAGATGTGAAAATTTTTTTTTCAAAAAATCCTCTGAAACACCCTTCATTGCAACACTTCAAGGCCTACTAAAAGTTGCTCTGCATTCTATGTAATCTTAGTCAGTGAACCTCAATTAACCAAGCATTCTTCTTAAGCAAACAGTTTGAAGTCCCGAGATGCTGATTAATTCTATTGGAAATTCCCTCAAGCATTAAATCACTTGGTTATCTGAAATGGTTCTTTGCCATTCTCTGCATACAGGTAATCAAGCACATGATACAGTACAGATGTCAGCTTGTTATTTTACCTAGTAACTCCAGAAATGAGCACTAAATTGGAAGGAATACTGTAGCACAGTTATCTAAAGTCATAGATAAAGTGAACAGAATTTCTATTTTCAAGACCTTGCAGCTCCTAATGATGGTTTTAAATAATTCCTTACTCTCCATGAGAAATGTCTGGCCTACAAATTTACCATGTTAGCCTTGACACCATGGGCTAATTAGATGTTAAGCATAACAGCTCAAAAAGGAAAAAAACTTTCTCCTAACATTAATTCTTAAGAGGATCATTTCAAGAATTTGTATGGCAAACCATTCCTGTGCAGGGTGCACAGAGGAAGACCAAGAAGCACCAGCACTGCAGATAATTTCCATTCAGCAAGAGAGCCAAACACTCTGGAAATCAGGACTCTGCCAAACCTGGACTGCAATGGCTATGTGGGTCTCTTTTAGAGAAACACCTGTGGCAAATAGCAACCTCAGGGGCCAGGACCATTCCCTTGACTTAGCTGAGAAATTGAATCTTCCCTGTCCCAGGAGAGGCTGGTGTGAAGACACTTCCCTGCCTGCTCTTCTGAAAAGCAACTACCAATTCCTTCTCTTAACTACTGCTCAGGTTTCTTTTTCTTTTTTTACCAGGATTATGTGATTTGTATACAATCACTGGTATAGAGAAAGCTTTTAAGCAGGGCACCTCCATGGATGTTAATTTAGCACAATTATACTTAATGAGAGTGAAACTGCTTAACAGGGGTATATTCATTTAGTGATACAGAAATGAAGTATCTCAAACTCTTAAATCAGTGTGAAATGCCAAACTTCCATTACAAACAGAGATCCCAGTCATAATAAGGAAATAAATACCCAAGACAAATTAAATGCTGTGAGTAATCTTCTTATTGCTGTAGTTTTACTTTGATGGCTACTTTATGTCATGGCAAGTCTTTTCAGAAGCATTTTTGTGTCTCTTTATCAGGATAACTGTTTAATTGAGTTGGCTGTCTACCAGTTCAGGGGATTCTACTGAATTAACACTCAGATTTGTTTAGCTTTAGCTAATCAGATGTGCAGTTGTGATGTTCCTGCAGACCTTTCAGTAAACTTATGTGTTGAAAAATACAGGTTGGTGCAATTAAGAAGATCTGTTGCAGATTTTATACATTCCCTAGGGTACCAGATTGTTTTTCTTCCTTTTATATTTTATATAATTATTACAAATCACTATTGGAAGAAATCTATGTTTTGTTTACAATAAATAATTATTTATCTATGGATGTTCAGATTAAGAACAAGAAAATATGAAACAAAGGAAAGACTACAATAAATAAGGGGAAAGTGGCTAAATCACTATTAAAATTGCCTAGCAGCTAGGATGGCTACTTTTTCCAGTGATACATCACCAATCCAAATTACTCTAGAAATAAGGGCACAAACTCAATTTCCATTTAGCCCTGCAGGTTATCTGCCACAAAAACCAGTCAAAGAGATGTCTATTTGAGAGGGAGAGAAAAAAGTAAGAAGAATAAATTACTCCTAGAAAGGAATTAATGAATATTTAATGATAGCTTTACTTTCAGCAGCCCATGTGTAATTTCAAGACCTAAAACTAAGCTTGGCTATTCGTGCGAAGATTTTCAGGATGTGAAAGAATAGGATGGTCTTCATCTTTTCTGAAACACCTACACCCGCCCCAGAGTGCTCAGGACCATGGATCTTGTACTAGAAGTGTGAGGAGAGAGAATTTCTACTGTTACAGCCAAAGATTAGGTGGCCACTGTGCAAGAGAAGACTGATTGTCCCCCATCTCCATGTCCACCCTCCCCATGCTCACTACAGCACCAGAAAGAAAGCGTGGACATGAATCCTTTCCTGCCAAGTTTTCTCCCCTACCTCAGCAATCCTCTGCTTTTGTGAAGGTTTTTTTCAGAAAACAAAAAGGATTGAGAGAAAGGAGTAAACCATCTGGCTTGTGCAGAATTCTTTTCTTCCTTCGTGATAGGTTTTTTGGTTTCCTCTCTTTGCCCACTAAACTCCTGCAGTGAGACTATGGAATTGCTTTCCAAAGCAGGAATATGTGGCATTTTTGGGTGTAAACATAGCCCAACTCTACATCACTCAGTGAGGCTTTTAAAGTACCACTGTCTTCATCAGATAACAGCATGTTATTGTTGGTTACATCATAGAAATTTTTCAAAGCATGTCAAGGCTAGAAAGTAACCAGCTTTAGCTACAAAGACTTTTTTTTTTTTTTTTTTTGTTGCTCTCTTCAGAGGATGAATAGGATTATTTTGTGCCCTAGGTGTTGTCTGTATGCTCTTTGTACCTTTTGTCTTTCTTCCCTTGTTTTGCCATGACTTCTTTAGGACACATGTTGAGCCAGGCTGCACCTGAGGAAAAATTTGTTCCTTGGCACATCAGCTCCAGGAGCTGTAAAAATGTAAGAGCACTGCTGGAGATATCTCACTTTCTGAAATACACAGCAAACTGTATGCATTACTTGAGTAAAAATGATTCCAGCCTTCCTCTCATGGTAGGACATGGGGCAATGGTGTAAAACTGAAAGAGGGATGATTTAGATTGGATATAAGAAAGGCATTTTTAATGATGAAGGTTGTGGGGCACTGAGAAATGTTTCTGAAGGAAGCTGTGGATGCCTTGTCACTGGAAACGCTCAATCCCATGTTGGATGGGCTCTGATCAACCTGGTTTGATTAAAGGTGTCCTTGTCCATGGCAGAGTGTTGAACTAGGTGATCTTTAAATGTTTCTTTCAACAAGACATTCTGTGATTCTTGTCATTCAAATCATATTTCTGAATACCTCCAATATGGAAATGCCCCAAGAAGCACAAGACCATGACTCTTCTAATACAAAATTATGTTAATTTCCTAGTAAAATAGAAAGGCTATGTACAAAAGATCAGCAGAGAATCTTAATATAAACTATATAGGATCTCCTGAATATTTTCTTTGCTGAGTTTCTGAACTCTCTGCCAAGGTGTTAATAATGTAAAGGATCTCAAATGAAGAACACAGTTCATGTTGTTTGCAGAAAGAAAAGGTGATTTATTATTTACAAGAAGATCTATCAAATAAGATGTCAAATCTCAGGTGGTTTTGTCCATACTGACAGGCTGCTGAGTGTATATACACCAGTTTCATACTTCAGTTTGTCCTGATTCAATTTCATTCATAATTGACAACTGCATTTGCCTTTTTATATTTGCAATAAAACACTGTGCAAACAAAATTTGTGAGTATACATGCAGCAAATCTCGTATCAACACTGACTGGCTGCCAGATTTGGAATCAATTCACTGATTAGTTTGAGAGTGATTAATGTGGGTGCTTAATTTAAATCCCTGATTTAAAAACATTTATGGAAAGAGAACTGACAGCCTAAATAGCACTTCAAGTGCTACAACTGTTCCTTCCAAGGATTCTGCTTTTGTTAAGTGTGGGGGTAAGTTTTTGCTCAGGTGCAACATGCCATAAGGTGATGATGTCCAGATGCCAAATTTTTCAGCCCTTCTTGCAATAAGAAATGATAACTGTTAACAGGTTTTCTGGGGAAAAACTGGAAGAAAATCTACTTTTTTCGAAAAACTGAAAGGAACCCTAAGCAATGGCTGAATAGGGTACCAGGGTTAAATATTTCATTATACTCACACTTGGAATTTCAGCCTGTTTTATGCACTCTACTTCCAGCTAGACGTGACAAGTCAAACTGAATTTTGGGTTTAGATAATAAAACAAGTCCATGTAGATAGTCCAACAGTTTCCTGGTGCAACTATTAATTCAGCTGGAAGCTCTTCTCAGCACTGTCATGTCAGACCTGGTGCTTTTCTTCTCTGAGTATTTCTGTCCTATGTCGATGGGAAATCCATAGTCCAGGTTCAGCCATGGCTTGCCCAGCTGTCTGCTGTGCAGTTCTCCAGGAGCAGGACAGAAGGGATCCAATGTAATAAATGTACCAATGGCCAAATATCAGGCCTGACACTGGAAAAGAAGGGTTCTTGACACTAGGCCTGGTTTTGAAAGACATTATGAAAAAAAGAAGACATAACATCAAAAGATGCTCTCTTGGATAGACTATGAAGGAAAGAACCCTAGAAGATCAAATAAATTCAATTATTTCTTTTTATTAGGACACAGCTGCATGCTCCCTCTTGAACAGACTGAATATATTTTTGACTGAACACATCCTCTTGCATCTTTGAACTCATCCAGTTTTGGTTGTTTGCTATAAGATGCTGCCTTCTGATCCTTCTAAGCCTCTTCCTTTCTCAAAGTCAAAATCACAGCAGTAGCTAAAATAAATTACTGAACACTCTCATATCTTAATTTATGTACATATAGAATCATTGTTTAGTTGACATTTTCACCAGTTTAAATCTGCCTGGACATGGTGGAAGCAGACAGATTTCAATGGGAAACGAGAAGTGTGCCCAACTGCATTATGGATTTTTCCCCTCTCTAGCTCCTTTTGGAAAGATTCATTGGTTAAACCCAACATGTGTGTAACATTGTCTACTAAGATCCAACATTACTGTTTTGCCCAGGCAGAATTCCCAGATATTTGGAAGGTGCACAGTTCAGAACTGATGCTCTCCTTGGCAACTTCATTTTTGTGAACTACTTTTGCAGCCTATAGCAAATTCCCTTCTATTTTTTATGGGTGTATGCAAGATGAGTAACAGTACAAATTTGTCGTGCTGCTCTGCCTATACCTGTCTAGGTAAGAAAATAAAACTGCCTCTTCGTCCTATTCACTACTTCAGGCTGCCAATAAATGTGAAAACTCACACTAACCACTCACATGATTAGAAGAGAATTTTCATTGCTTTATAGCACTCAAGCAACACAGAACCGACCTAAAGTGCCCAACATTTACATGGATTGTATTCAAATTAAAAATTGATGGGATAAACCCTCCAGACCTCATCATTAGCTCCTCCAAAGTAGCACCACTTTATTTTGGAGTGAATTGAACCCTATGGACTTGGTATGTAGAACCAAGGGAAAATGGATTCTGGCCCTTTATTGCCTTCTGCCAATGGAAAAAAAATTCTATTCATACTTGCCTAGCAGGCACGCACAATAGTGCAATTTTGTTAGACTTACTCGCTGTTCTTCAGGAACACAAAAAGCAGAGGTTCTTTTTCCTTAAAAAAAAAAAAAAAAGAGAGAGAGAAATTACTTTGCAAAAACTTTTCTTCATCTTTTGAAAGAAGCTTATGGCAATCTATCTTCATTTACACTGTAAGGGATCTTGCTTGGGTCCTGGAATAGACTCTGGTTCCTTTTAAAACAGGGAAATAGCTTCTAAATACATTGAGCTGCTTCTAAGAATTTATGAAGTAGAACATAAATCTAAGAGCTGGCAACATTTAGTGGTAATGAGGCAATTCTTACATGAGAGAGTTCATTACAGGATCAGCTCATGTTATTTTCCAGCAGCTGGAAAACAGAATCTTTCACAGGCTGGGAATGAAAAATCTCACTATAAAATTACCTTGTGTATAACCTAATACACAATTAGTATAAGAAGGAAGCATAGCAGAATTCATCCTGCTACTTCTAATGCAATGGGCTTTTTATTGAAAGAAGAATGGGTGTTTTACTGAAGGAAGAAGTGATGTTTTCCTTGTCCAGTACTGTTGTGCCAGCTGACCAGCAGCACATGGTGGAGAGTGGGTCTTGGCTGTGCTCTGCTCCTCTGCAAATGTTTTGAAACAACCAGTATTGCTAAGGAGGGTGTCTGGCTCTTAGTGCAAAGAAGAGGAATTTCCTTCCAGAAGCACTTTCTTAATAACGTGCCATAACTCTCCAAGTGCTCTTTCCTACTGTGTTTTTGCCATCAGGTGGCTTCACAGCAGAAGTCTGGCCCAAGAGGAGCTTGAAGTCTCTTCCCAGTTTTAGAGTTGGAGGGGGTTTGCCAGCACTGAGCCACGTAGATGCAATTCCTACTCATCAGTTCAGCCTTACTCTTTCACCACTCAGATTTTGACAAGGATGAGATACAATCATGCTGTAATCATGCTGTTTTTCAAAGTGACTGCATTGGGCTCCTCTTTTTTTTTTTTTTTTTTTTTGGCGGGGGGTTTGGTGGGGCTTTTTTGTGGTTTTTTTTTCTGGTCTGCAACAAGCATGCTGAGATTCTCTAAATTACTCAGGGCTGCAAACACAATCACCCCAAAATGGGAAATATTTTCCCTTTAAGTTGCAGTCTGCTGCTGTTCAAATTATTTTGAAAAGATGCTAAGACAACTTTTTCACTTCATTTGCTATCCCCAAGTGTGCCCAAGTTTAAAAGATGCTTAAACCAGTTGAAAACAATAGGACAACAAAACATTCCACTCATCCTTTTTAAAGGCTGCAGGAGCTCAGAGAAGAGCTAGAACTCAGGCTCTCAAGAGGAACCCAGTCACCCCAAGTCAGCTGCAGTTCCTCACCAGTTACTGAGCTGGCTCCCACACTCAGTACTGGTGCAGAAGGGGGTGGTGGAGACCAAGGACAAAAACTGCTTCCCCAGCACTCAGTTCCCCAGCTGGCTGAGGTAGCTGGCTGTCATCACTATTTCCCTCCTCCCCAGGCAGGCATCATGCAAGGGTCAAACATGCCTTAGGAGTGAGGCCACAGAAAACAGCTAAGGAATCAGGAGGGGCTGGGGAAAGGACAAAGATGGACTGAAACCTATGAGGATTTTTAAAAGAAGGGCATCTATAAGAAGCTTATTTTTTTGCAGAGGCTTGCAAAACCTACACTAGCAGCCTGACTGCAGTCAACAGATAGGCAAGCTGGGCACAAGCAGTAGTGTGAGTCAATGCCAGCAGTTATCACCATAATTCTTTGTCTCAGAAAAAAATGAATTACAGAGAACTACACAAATTAGGTAACAAGCAATATTTTTTAAAAACGCGTGGACTGCAGTTGCAAAAGTCAAGGAAGCTTGAAAACTCTTGATTGCAGTGTTGAGAAATCACAAAGTGCAATGTTAGACTGCTAAACAATTTTTTGCTTCAGACAGAAGATGCATAAACAGAAACCAAAACCAACAACAACAACAAAATATAAACCACTAAAAAAAGGCTGGCAGAAAAAGAACCAGGTATCTCAGCTGCAAAGAAGGCCAAACTGTGAGCTAGAAACAGATTGCCAAAGAAGATACCCAAGCAAGTCAGCCAAGTATTTATTTTGATTCATACCCATGCTTGGCCCAAACCCCCAAACACTTTTAAAATATACTACTTGAACAGTAAGAGTATGAGTGAAATTGCAGCTTCAGCTTCAGATTAATTTTATAGCAATTTAAAGTTATTGTTGACCTTTAAAGTGCAACTACTAATGGTTTGAATTTCTGAGACAAGTGAATAAGCTCTGAATGAGACATGAGAGAGAGAGAGAGAAATAAAATATAATCAAATAAACCAATACCAGTAGCTTTCCTGGTAAGAGTTTTTTGTTATTGAGACAAAGAGGCTGCAGTTCTTGCCTACAGCTCACTCAGGACGTATAGGTTTGCAGCAAGTTTCTGGCTGAATTTTTGCCTCTCTCTACAAGAATCCAAACTAGCTGGCAGTAGCAATTTCTGTCCTGAAATCCAATCTATAGCTCTAAGAGTCTGTCATGTTGTCATGGCTCAGTGAGACCCAAAAAGAATTTCACTGTTGTTTGCAAACAGATTGATATGGATGAAAGTCAGGGTATGTTCTTCTGTGCTTGAGAAGATATAATTTAACACTCTTGGACCCAATTTTACCCTAATTATAGGCAACACAGAACTTTGCAGTGAAGTCAGTGGGCAGAAATCAGACCTCTTACTGTAGCCTGACAGACAAATAACAATCTGCTTCATAGCAGAATGTGATTTACCCTGTATGCTAAAAAATGAGTTTAAATAGCTCTATAATATTAGGGATTCTTCAGAAATGGAGGACCAGTGGATTAAGATGCAAAAATGACAATGCACTGATTTGAAAAGAGCCAAGATGGTTTGGTGAACATCCTTCTACTCCTGGATACATTAGAGATGCATTTCTTGAAGCAGTGAACAAAAAACAGCACTAAGGAATAAAGCCTAAAACGGGGGAAAGGAAGAAGGAGAAGGCAGTTCTCCAAAGATTAATCTGCTATTATATTTTTAAGACCCCTTTGTTCTCACCTGCACTCACCAGCTTAATTATAACTAGATTTGCCTTGCTTTTTCTTACTCTCCTGCTGCTGCCAGAACTGGCAGTGACACTGCTATCCTTGAAGTAAGTGCTGATAAAAGGAAAATCCACAGGGAAGCCTGGTGCGTGGCTTTCCAGGCTCTTTGCGTGCAAGGAGTGAAGCTGTGGTTAATTACCTGCCTCCAGCCACTCCTTAAAAGCTGAAGAGCTTTTCTTTGTATGGCTACAGTAGCCATGGCAGCTGCTCATTTATTAGTTGCAGCACACATTAGAGCAGGCTGGGTAACAAGACTGCGTGCAAGGTGAAGATGTCAAATTTCTGTTTTTAAAAAAAAGAGGCCAATAATCTGTTTATTGAGAGCAGGTAATGGAGGTGCCAATCAAAACCCGAAACTGTCACGCATTTCACCATTAGGGAAGAATGACTAACAACTGAATATTGCACTGAAGTGCCTAATTATGTTCTGATCTAACTACCCCTGGCATCTGATAATAGATCCTTCACTAAAGATGGCCCTGAGTCCAACATTTTAATCTCAAATTTGAAAAAAATCTTTGACAATATCAGTTGTATTCAGACCAGGATTTGGAGCTAAACAATCTGACTGCAGCAAGAGAGAGACTCTAGAGGTGAATTTCCCTAATATTTTACAGTTTCAGTGGGGAAGGGTAAGAGTGGAGAAGAAAGGGCACTGTTTGATAGCACAGTATAAACATCAGTGCTTCTGTCTCTGCCAGAAATTTGTGACTGAAAGAATAAGGTGCAAATAAGGTTTCTAATACTGTGTGTCCACATGAGGAGATCATGAAGAGCAGAGATTCTGTTCTCAGTCCTTCCTCCTATAGACAACCACAGTATCACTGTGGTTGCTCTCACACATGGGCCTGGAGGGCAATAACACTAAATTGTGTGACTGACCATAACTATTTCACTGTCCTCTTGTCCAACATTCCCATAAGTAACACCACTGACCAGCCAGATATTCCCAGCCCTGCATCAGCTCCCCAGAGGCTGCCATTCTAATTCTCCTGTCAGTTGTGTGCAAGGCAAGCTTAAAACCTGACTTTTCTCAGTAGGCTTTCTCCTAAGTGTACCTGTTCCCAAAGAGCTCACTCTCACATCATCATCATCTTCCCTGTAAGGGAGGAATGGCTTTTAATTTCATCCAGATTTCACAGCAACTAGCACCTGCTAGCTGTTTTTCTCCCTGGGACATTTAATATTGAACCCCAGTTCTATGCTATCTTTTGCCTCTACAATTCCAGCAAATGAGGACATGCATTTGCAACATGATACTCAGCCCTTTGTCAGCAGATGCTTTGAACAGTCTCCTCTGTGTCTTGGTAAAATTATTTCCTACTGAGACAGGAACAAGTGGGGCATGGGAAACCAAAGCCCTGGAAATGGTGAGTTATAATTGCTTTGGGAAGGCATTCGCTTTCCATAAATCCTGCCTATCTACAACATGCTTTAAAAATGTGCTGGCCACTCTGCTAGACCCTCCCAAATTCTCATCAGCACACAAAATAAACAGATGAAACACACAAACCTCTCAGCTTCCAGCAGAGGCCTGCTTCCTTGGAAACACTCGGCATTTCTGTGGGGTCACAGCCCAGACCAAGTCTGGATCTGGCAGAGAGCAGCTCATTTAGCACAGAGCTGGTGCCTTCATTGCAGAATATGTTATATCTCTCCCCAAGAGCCCAGTTTTGGATTTGTAACCTGGATTTCAAAGGAAGACTAAATAGTCACTGAATAAAATAAAATAAAATAAAATAAAATAAAATAAAATAAAATAAAATAAAATAAAATAAAATAAAATAAAATAAAATAAAATAAAATAATGCACAAAACAAAAAGTAAAATAGAATAATTTAAAAATTAAATTAAAATACTTTAATTAAATATATAAGGTGTTTGGCATTGGAGTGTAGGTTAACTAAACTAAGACACATGAAAATAAAAAGCATGAAGTGTTTGGCACTGGAGCTGACTTAGTCCAGTAAAAGATGACCATTAGCTAACTTGTGGCTAATACAGAAAAGCCATTTCTGAGTCTCAGGCAGAGGAATCACATGTAGGAAAGGGGAAATTTACACAGTTTAGTTCCTGAGATTAAAGAGTTACCCAGATTTCATTTGAAGCTCAAAACAGCAGCATTTACCTCAGTACATCTCCACAGTTCTACAGAAGAAAAAGAGCAAAGCATTCTTCTTGCTCCACTCTCCCTGCAAGGGGGTGGTTATAAGAACTATTCACAGCTTGCAGGTATGTTTAAGGCTTAGATTTTTAAGGTATGTAATAGAACTCACCTCTACAATTTCCCTTTTCTCTTTTAAATTCCCAAAGTTGAAAGTAACTGCAGACACAGAAGAAAACTGCACTAGTATAACCTAGTAGAACCATGTATGCTTGAGCAATTTAACTTGCTGTGTGGCAGAAATACTGAACTTGGTCTGAATGAAACATTAATAGAAGATTGTGTATGAAAGTACACACATGACTGGATGCTTCTGAGTACATGGTGTAGGAGTGCAAGGGACTGACATCTACAACACAATGTGCTAGTGACTGAAATCAACTTTGTTTAAAATAAATACCATTTTCCCCTTCCATATGGTCTCTTGCTGAGTTTTGTAAAATTAATTTTATACATGCTGCTTTGGTAGAAGGATCCAGGAGCAAGTGATTCTCATTCCAAAACAATTAGCACATGACTAGGGAACAAATCTGTCAGTACATCAGTCTGGAGACTAAACTTGAGGCAGTTCTCCTACCTGAGGTACTTTTAAAGAAAGTATTCTATAAACCATTTCTCTCACTCATTTAAGTCCCTGGGATCCCTGCCATATTGCATGCAGTGCAGTCTTGCTAAATCAGCAGGACAGACTGTCACAAGATGTGATAGCACAGAATGGTGCTGCAGAATGCTTTAAATTGTACAGGCATACTAATCAGGGGTGATATGCACAGATCTTGAATCCCTTTGCAAATTAGTAATTTAAAAAGCACCATTCCTAGAAAGTCAACTGACATATTAATGAACCATTTTGAAAGCAAAAAATTACCCAAAATGCTGGCATAGAGAATCAAACCTTTTTCAGTAAAATATACAAATTTGAGCATTTCAGAAGCTTTGTTCTTATTCCAAGATGCTTTAAATTGAAGATTCACACAACATAAATATTTCCATAAGCCCTGGTCTGAGTAAATAGGGATAAATTCTTTGTACTGGGGCAAGAGCATTGGAGATCCATAGGACACACCACTGAGCCCAGGCAGTTTCCAGGCAATTTCCAGTCCTCATCCATGATTTAAAGGAGATTTCTGATATGACAATGCTCTTTGCTTTTCTGTTTCTAAGCTCAGCTCTGCAGTAGCAGCAGAGTTCTGAAATTTCAAGAAATGATGAAAGACACTGCATTTGCATAGATACCCAAGGATGTTTGCTTTAGAAGGGAAACAGATTTGGGAGACAGGAAAAAATATGACAATGTATTTGGCAACTTATATAATTTCTGTTAACTTCAGCATGATCAACAGCTAAAAGTGTCTATTTTTACTTCTTGTATACTTCTGAATAAATGCTGACCAAAGATGCCACAGTGAAATTATAAGTTTTATTTCCTATTTGTTTTTGATTTGGAGGACCACCTAAACAGTATATGATCTAGGAAGAAGAGGAGTTGAAAGGGGTGAGCATATACACAATTTGCTCATTTTTTCCACTTTATTGCTCTGAAGCCATAAATGCACCTGCTCTATTTGTTGCGGTCAGTTTAGCCAAACTTCAAATAAAGAGCATGAAAAGGTGCTGTTTTATCTCTCTCAGCACCTGTGCCCACACATGCTGTACACCTGGCAGTGTGTGGAGGCTGTCACCCTGACACAGGTGGCTGAAACAGTGGCTTGAAGCATGACTCCAGCCCATCACAATCGTGTGCACAGGCAAGAAATCTGCCTTAGCTTAGAGAGAGCAGCTGTGGCTCAGCTTGGAGCAAAGTCTGCCTGCGGCAGCTACAAAGAGCCCTGGGTATGAAAAAGCCCTGCCCTCTTTTGGAAACAGAACTTACCTCTTATGATCAAAGGCTGGAGTGCCCAGCTAAACTGCAGGGGCTGACAATGCAACTGAGAAAACCTTTCTGCTCTAAATCCATTTGTTTTCCATTAGAGAGAGCAACACCTATGTAAAGGTTTTGCAGAAAAGCCCATGGAGATTTTCTGATTACCCTTTTAGTAACTTACAAGACAATAAACAACCAACTTAGCCAGACTTTTAGCAGCCACTCAGTTGTCTCCTTACACAGCTTTCTCCAGCCATGTTATGCCCTAAAATGAGGGAATGAAGTTTTAGGTGATTAGGAAAGATCATACCAGGGTACCATTAGTGTACTATCTGTCTCAAAGTCAAAAAGAAAGCACAATAGTCACCACTCCATTCCCTTCCCTACCCACTATGACAGGAGCCAAACAGTGCTGTTTACAGTGCTACAGCACAAAACCAACCTGCCAAGCTTCTAGCAGAGCAGAAAACTGAGTTATGTGCCTTCTTTTCCAAACTCTCCTGGCACTTGATGCCTGCTCTACCTGCCCTCCAGGTAAAGATCTTGTTAATGGAAGTTATGTCCAGATCATGGGATTCCAAAGGGAAAAAATGGCATGACAGTTATGACCCTAGAAGGAACTGTGCCTAGGCACCAGTCCAATGCTTGAAGGTTCCCATTTCCCATTTCTCACTCTCCTCACCCTGATCCTAGTCCTAACCTAGCCCTAGGCCTGGGCTAAGATTTCTGCCCTGGGACAGGTTAACTCTCCAGGTATCTATTACTGATGTGTGAGTCCTACTGGCAAGAAACCCTCACTAGGAGAACCCAAAACACTTGAAGACGGCATGATTAAGTGACCTCACACATTAAGGAAAGTTTTGAGTATACAGGCACTGGTCTGTGAGACCCAAACACCACGTCTCTAGTAATGCATCATACGCAGCAAAGAAAGAACACGGCAAAGGGAAAAGGCAAAGGAAAGAATGAACAAACTCTGCCCTGGGCTTCTCCTTGCTCTCAAGCACTTTCAGGTTAAACTGTGAGAAAGGCAATGATTTTGTTTGCTATAAAAAGCCTTTTTCCTCATATTTCAGATATACCATGCATTGCCAGGACAGACCTAGAAGTGAAGCCACCTGAAAAAGCCAACAGGCACCCAGTACTAAGGACCAGAAGGAAGCACGGCAGCTCTTCTCCTGTTTGCTGAGAGAAGAAAATGACGGATGCTCCTGAGGTCCGTTCCAGCAGCACCCCCATCTCCCGCAGGCACCTTCCGACCCGCACTGCTTGAGCTGGCTCAACACCAGGCTCACAGGAGACGCTGCACAGCTCTTCCTTAACACCGATAAACAAATAGACGGAAACAACTTAGAGCCGGCCTGAACACATTACTATAGGCTGCCGCCCTGGCCTCTTCCCATTGCAGAGCAAAAAAAAAACACAAAAAAAACCCTTCCAGGGAACGGAGCCAGAGGGGAGGGGAAAGAAGTTCATCAGGAGGCCGGGAGGCCAGGCGGCCAGAGAAGCCGGCCTGCTGTCACCGCGCAGGCACG